GACTTGGTGGTGTCCCTGAAAAGGACGTCAAGGCTCTCTTTTCTACCTCCTCCATGTACAGGTTGGCAACAATAGGAGAAACTGGAGACCCCATAGCACACCCATGTTTCTGCCTATAATATTGCTCCCCATATGTGAAGTAGGTTGACTGCAGGCACAGTTTCAAGAGTTGACACAGTTGTTCTGTGGAAAGCGTGGTCCTGCTGGGTGGAGGCCTCCGGGTTCAACTGTCCCCCTCTTACAATGCTGTGATTGCTAGTATCACTCAGCCCTCTGTGAGTAGTAAACAGCCATCAGTGTGCTAATGACTCATTGTTAGGCTGATGGTCCTTCTTGAGCATGTGATCAGCTGGTTTTGGTTGTCAGCAGCAAACTGGTTGATCCACCCTGAGAAGGTGCTATTTAAGAGACTGAGCTGAAAACAGCACCTCAGACTGAGGAAGTCTCTTGGATGAGAGACGAAACGTTTCTACATTTTTTTTGCTTTGTTTTGTTTTTGTTTTTTTTGAATGTCCAGAGGACCAGATTGAACTTTTTTGGATTTTTCTACCTGGATTATTGAGCATGCATCAGGATGTTAAAGTCAGAGTCTAAAACCATCCTAAGATTTGTAACAGACCACTTAAGATATGGCTGAAGAGTCAAGATTTACAGGATCAAAGACAGTGGTAGAGCTAGGGCCAAACACAGTGACTTCAATTTTCTGATCATTAAATTTTTTTTATATTAGGTAAAAAGTTTGAAGCCATCCACACCTTGATGGCATCAAGATATTTTAACAGAGGACATACAGACCAAGAACTGTTAGGTTTTAAAGGCAGATAAATCTGACAGTCATCAGCATAACAATGAAATGAAAGACCATGTTTCCTCAGAATAGACTTCACCCGAAAGGGAGAAGATAGAGTGAAAACCAAAGGAGTCCAAGAATCGAGCCTTGTGGGAGTCCACAGGAAAGAGGCATTGACACAGATACACTATTTCCAGCCTTTAACACAGAAACTCCTGTCACTTTGGTAGGATTGAAGATAATTTGTTATTGTTGATTTGTTTTACAGATCAGTTCAAATAAACTTACCATCTCCGTTCAGCAAAATACTCTACACAGTATTTAGGTGCTCCCTGCTTATTGGGTCTCCTCTGCTGTGCTCTGTGCAGCAGGGTCATGACTTGAAAGTAGTCTGCATGCGCCCTCTGCTAGATACTGTTGTGGCTAGAATACCACGTCGTGTTCAAAACGGCGGAGGCGTCGCCCTTCGTATAAAAGATTTATTTGACACAACATGGGTTACAGATATTCAGAGACAAACAATTACATTAATAAGATATATGCATATAAATGGAGCATTAAGAACGAACCGCCTCGTGTGCGCCTCCCGGAAAATGCTCGGTGCGCGTGCGTCATTCCCGGCCTTTTATCCCCGTTTGAGAAGGCTAGCTTCCTGATTGGTTCAGCTTCTGTCGCTATGGTTACGATTTAGTCCGCCCCCTCAAGGACGTTAACGTCTATATTCCAGATAAGATTTCGGTACACCGAAATCGGCTTTTGTTTAAAGTTTAACTTGCTATACTTTTAGGGATACAAAATGATTCGTGTCTAAATTGTTTATATGTAATAATTAATAACTATTAATTATTACCTACCTCATGGGTGTTAATTCAATATCTGTTGAAGGCCTGGTGATTCTGTTTTTAAGGCAGATTCATCTTAGTTTCTGTGTCTGCGTTTAAACTGTTAACACCGTTTGTTTAACGTGATTATACCTTAGTGATAACACTGATTTGAAATAGTTGTTTATTTCTAGGAATAATTATATTATCTAACTTATGTTCGTGTTTTTATTTGGATCATGGTTATACTCTTAATTTGATTTTACTTAGTCAACCTATATTGTCTAAATTAAAGAGCTGTGTTCTACTTTATTTATGTTAATCAGTCTGCTCTCTGGCCTGATTTGATTGCTTGTAATTTATCAAATGTGAACTTGTAAAATTATCTTTAGCTACTATGAGATTATATTTAAAGGTCAACTAGTTAGAATTAGCAAACATTTTCTATAAACATAGTTCAACCTTGGAAGAAAGACACACACACACTTTATATGACATGACATTTGAGTGCTTGATAGGAATTATAAAAAGGTATAAAATATTAAATCCAACAATACATTGTACAATAATGGCTCATTCACATCATTTTAGTGGTGAAATTAGAAGTGTTTATATTGGTGCATAATGGGCCAATTATCACCGATACTGATAGGTCCCCAAGCGCCAATATCGGCCCTACCAATATATCCGTCAGGGTTTTAATCTTAACCATATACCTGTATGTTGTTGTAGGAGTGGATGAGGCTGTGATCGTCTCTCTGAAGTTTTCCAAGAACAGAATGGCCACGTTCACTTGCTCCATGGGCGTACAGCTGCCCAATGAGGCGATTATTGCAGGAACAAAGGGCACAATCAAGGTAGGCCATAAAAAGCAATGATTACATACACTCAGATGACCTGACATGCTAAAGGAATCCAACGTGTGTGCTGTTTTCATTGTGATATTACCCTATGTGCTCATTCTTTAGGTTCCTTTCCCAATGTGGTGTCCCACATCATTAGTGGTGAATGGAAAGGAGACCCAATTCCCACTGGCAGAACCCAGTTTGCCTCTGAACTTTTTAAATAGTACGGGGATGCGTTATGAAGCAGAAGAGGTGCGACAGTGTTTGCTCAAAGGTAATGTCAGCATGTTTTTGTCTGTATGCATGATGTTATTGGAGTGGATAGTAAATTTGGCATTTGTAAAACTTAACAAATGTTAAAATCCACCATAAAAGCAGTGAGGAGTGGCAGAAATCTTAATGTTTTTAGCTGTTTGTATCAGCCGACTGTCTGGATGGGTTTTGTTGCAGGGCTGCAGGAGAGCGCAGTCATGTCCCACGCTGACTCTCTCCTTCTAGCAGAGGTGGAGGATGAGATCCGCAGGCAGGTGGGGGTGGTGTACAGCCAGGACTGCCAGTAAATGTTCAACATGCAGACACAAACTCAATCATTTACTGACGTACTCAGGTTTGAAGTCATCCGGTTTGAATTCAAGTGTTGGTATTTTTCTTATTGAAACAACCAGTTTATAAGTGCTGACCTTTCTTTTCATAATGCCAGTGATTAGGGCAGTGGTTCCCAAAGCTGGAGTCACAAAACGCCACACTTGGGAGTCTTGAGATGTTTTCCAGAGCCAAAATTAAATTAAAATAATGATTGCCAATAGATTTTTTTTTTTTTGTCATGATTGCTATGAAAAAATAAACCTTGTTGTTCTAACAAAATAAAGTTAGTCTAATGTTTTTTTTTTTGCATCATGCTCTTATTTAATTGGCCGTATCATAGTGTTTGCATATGTTTAATTGGAGTCACAAATTTCTGTTGCTCTTATCCTGTAGGTCGAAAACATTTGGGAATTATTTCACCAGAGAGTGCAAACCCGTCATAACTCAGGCATTAGAGCAATGTTTATATAAATAAAAAAAAATAAAAAAACTTTACATATAACTATTTGAACTGCTGAAAACGAAATGCTGAAAAACATTTGATCATCTGCAAAATAAAGTTTCTAATATATTTCCTTAAATGCCAAGTTCGTTCATGTTGTCGTCTGACTTTGAACTTCTGGTTGAGCAGATCAACATGGGTAAACATTTGCATACTTAAAATTCATTGAGCAAAGTCACCAGGGCGAGTTAAACCACATTTTTTCATTAATTGCACAAAGCATGGAGCCAAACATGTTGATTGACTTTAAAAGAATCAAATCAAATTCATTTATATTGCACATTTTAAAACAACTGCTATCAGCCGAAGTGTTGCACACAAGACAAATGGTACAAAGACAACACCAACAAACACAATAAAAAAAACTGTTAAAAGAATGAGGTAAAAATAAAGCCAGTATAATAAAAAGCTCTCGTGCTGCATTAGAAGCCAAGGAGTACATAACAAAGGAAGGGAAGTGATGATTGTAGTGGCATTTTCACATTTGTTTATTTGAGTTAAAATTAAACTAACTGCAGTTGTGAGAGGCTGTCCTGGCTAACATCGTCATACAGAGAGGTGCAATCGTCCAGTTCGGAGGTAATAAAAGTGTGACTCACCCTTACTTTTTAAAAAAAATGCCTTATTTTACTACAAAACTAATCTGCTTCTCAAAGAGACATACAAGACCTTCAAGCTGCTTTAATCCCACATAAAGCAAGAAAATTATCACTTTCAAAACATATGAAATGGTTTCTCAACCCCAATATGAAACTAATAAACACTATTAAAACTTGCTGTATGTAATATTTGACTGTCATCAAGTTGTAAACGACTGATTTGTTTTTATTTGAAGTTATTAGCTTTCCACTTAAAAAATATATATATTTTACTGTTGCATAAACACCAAAAATGGCTTTTAGCAAATTAACAAAGCCATAAATGTTAGGGGGTTGCTGTACTTCAGTGGACAGTGCCATGGTGTCCTAATCCTGAGGATGTAGGTTCAAGCCCAGGTTGCATCAAGTAAAACAGTTGCCAAATATATTTAATAAGTTCACTCACTGTAGTGAACCCCCCAAGAAGGGAGCAGGTAAAACTATTAATGTTAACATATAAACGCAAATTAAACATAAATTTAGCCATACGTGTATCTTGGAAAGGAGGAGGAACAGAGCAAATGTGATCTGTTGTTTTGTAAGAGTCGAGGTTTGCTTTGTCGCCCCCTGGAGGCGGACAGCAGTCATTGCAGCTGCCTTCTGAGCAACATGGCAACCAGATGGGGGATCTGCAGTTCAGGAAGGATCAGTCACGACTTCACTGTGGCTCTGAAAACTCTTCCAGCTGAAGACCACCAGGTAAGAGCAGTCTGTCCGCAGCAGGACAGACGTAGTCCTCTGTTAATAAAACCGCAGAGACGCCAACGAGACTCCTTCTTCCGCATCACCTGCTTTTCCACGTGAATCTGCTGTTTGCTCTTCTTTTCATAGTTCTTACGAACGTATGATGTGTTAATTGGACTATTTAAATTCAGTCACGGGTCAGTGTCCAGTGAGTCGTAGTTTCTGTCCAAAGTAGCGGTGCCTTCACTTGGTTAACGCTATGCTAAACTTTTACCGTAAGTTACGGACTAAAGGGGAATGAACGATTCTGTGGTTCCCAACAGTTCTGCTCCACAAAATAACAAAGGTAAATGAGAAATTGCATTTACTGCAAAAATGCAGCGTGGATGCTTATTACAGAAGAATTAGCTGAAAAACAGCTGAAATTAGTTAAAAAAAAAACATGCTGAAACTATAGCTGAAAATATAGATAAGCGTCAGCAGGACAAAGCAGAAAGAGCATAAAGTTGAAAAGAGTGCAAAAAAAAAAAAAAAAAAAAGGCTAATATCAGCATTAAAACAGCTAAATGATAGCTGAAATGGCCTAACTGAAACTAGCAGAAAAAGCTGGAGGGAGTAGAACAAGTTGAAATGAGCAGAAATAATTTAATTAGGCTGAAAGGAGCAGAAATTACCATTACAAACTTGAATTAACTGAAAACAGCTGAAATTAGCTAAAATATGGCAGAAGAAAGCAGAAAGAACACATTTTCCCAATTAGGCTGAAAGAAGCAGAAATGAGCACGAAAAGTAGAAATTACCTGAAAAAAGCTGAAATTAGCATAAAAGATGACAAGTAGCTAAAAAAAGGCTGAAATAAGCTTAAACTACCAGAAGAAAGTGAAGAACACAATTTCCCTGAATTAGACTGAAAAAAAAGTTTAAATGAGTGCAACAAAAGTGGAATTAGCTGAAAAAGTTAAAACAGCTAAATAGTAGCGGAAATAGCAGAAAAAAAGCTGAAACTTGCAGAAATAAACTGAAAAAAAGTTTAGCTGAAATTAGCAGAAAGTTAGAAGAAGCACAAAAATGGTGTAGTTAGCGGATTTTTTTTTTAACTTGTGACTAATATAATGAACACATTCTTGTAGGGATTGATTTTTTTTTTTTAGATAATTTTCAGACATGTTGTTTTATGATCCACAGCGGGGTCCAGACCCTGCTTTGGGAAACCACTGCTCTAGATCACAATTAGAAAAGAGTGGGTGTGGGCAGTAATGGATAACAGCCATCTTAAGTGTAGACTTGTCTTTTCAGCTGAAGGACAAAATGAAAAGTGAAGAATCAAGTGTTTGTGTATGTGAGCGATGACATCTAGTGGAAAATGTAAAAAGTTACCACTATAAACTTTTATTCCCAGAACAGGATATTTATGCAGAAATATTTCATATAGTTGGAGCAAATGTAACATAAAGCAGGGTTTTTGTAATTCATGTGTTTTCTCAGGTTGTGGCTGTTGCAGCTCGGAAGTTGGAGGATGCTCAGGAGTTTGCCAATAAACACGGCATCCCTCGATCATACGGCAGCTATGAGGAGCTGGCCACAGATCCAAACATAGGTCTGAGTCTGTCACGTGTTGTGTTTGCCATAAAGCACCAGATCAAGGTGTACTTTATACTCACTAGTTGTCTTTTTGTTTTTGAATGCTGCACAGTCAATCTTGATTTTCTTCTTTTAATCGGTTGTTTTACCGCACTGCACAGTTTGGCCTTGTTCACCACGTTTCTCTGCTTTGATTTGTCATGTTCATGTGTAGATGTTGTGTACGTTGGGAATATCCACCCGTACCATCTGAAGACCTGTTCGCTCTTTACAAATGCCAAGAAGAACGTGCTGTGTGAGAAGCCTCTGGGCATGAACACCAGGGAGGTGAAAGAGATCCTGGACTCTGCTAAGAAGAACAACGTCTTCCTCATGGAGGTAAACGTGGAGCCGACTGATGGTCAATCACACAAAACCAGAACCCTACAATGAAAATATATAAAGTTGCTATGTCCGTGTTCTACAGGCTATCTGGACCCGCTTTTTCCCGGTCTCTGTGGAGATCAGGAGGCTGCTTGCTCTGGGGGAGCTGGGTGAAGTGAAGATGGTTCGATCTGAGTTTGGTCTGGCGCTGTTGCACAAACCCAGACTAGTAGAGAAGGAGTTAGGAGGAGGAGCGTTAATGAGTCTTGGCATGTACTGCCTGCAGTTTGCATGCATGGTGTACAATGGAGAGAGGCCAGAGAGCATCCAAGCCACAGGGGTCTGCCTGGAGACAGGTGATGTATTAATATGCAGCATTTACAGTAGCAGCATTTTCTTTTTAACAGAGAATAATAGTCTAACATTTAAAGCTTCTAATTTAGCCTGTATCTTTCTCATTAATTATTCTTTTTTAATTTTTTTTTCTATACCCTCTATGTAAACATAAGAGTCCCTGTTACACTTGTAAAGGTGTTTCAATACTAACCTTGTCACTTAAATTACATATTTGTCTTTCAGTCCATCTTTTTAAAATATTCATTTGTATGCATGGGGTGGCTGAGTGGTTAGAGCAGTCATCCTCCAATGCAAGAGTTGGGGGTTCAGTTCCACCAGCAGTGTCCCTGGGCAAGACACTGAACCCCTCCTTGCCACCGATGTGTAGGCCTGTCGCAATAAACAATAAATCAATTAATCGCATGATAAATGAAAATTATCGGCCTCATTTTCATTTATGCAACTGGTAGAGCTGCTGCCTCTCAGCGAGCAGGTCCTTGGTTCAAACCCCGGTCCAGGGGCCTTTCTGGGTGGAGTTTGCATGTTCTCTCCGTGCATGCGTGGATTTTCTCCGGGTACTCCGGTTTCCTCCCACAGACCAAAAACATGCATGTTAGGCTGATTGGTAACTCTAAATTGTCCCTGGGTGTGAGTGAGAGAGTGAATGGTTGTTTGTCTCATTTGTCTCTATGTGTCCCTGTGATGGACTTGCGACCTGTTCAGAATGTACCCCGCCCCTCACACAGTGATTTCTGGACATGGGCACCGGCGACCCCCGTGACCCAAAATGAAAGAAGCGGGTAAAAAGATAATGGATGGATGGATGGAATTTGTTATCGTGACAGGCCTACCGATGTGTGTCCCATTGGTGAAGGAATGTGATAAAGCACTGATTATAGTAGAGTGCTGTATAAATGGGTAACTGTAGTGTCAAGTGCTTTGAGTATTTTGACAAGATGGAAAGGTGCATTTACCATTTACCATGTATGTGTAGGAGTGGATGAGACGGTGGTTGTCACTCTGAAGTTCTCCAGGGGCAGAATGGCTGTGTTCGATTACTCCTCAAGACTACAGCTGCTCAACGACGCCGTTATTGTGGGAACCAAAGGCACAATCCAGGCAGGTCATCAGAGGCAGGTTGTGTTCACAAAAAAATGTGTTTAGTTGAAAACATTTTTTTTTCTCCCCAGATCCCTGCCCAGATGTGGTGCCCTACATCATTAGTTGTGAACGGGAAGGAGACCCAGTTCCCCGTGCCAGAACCCGGTTTGCCTCTGAACTTTTCCAACGGTACAGGGATGCGTTACGAAGCAGAAGAGGTGCGACAGTGCCTGCTCAAAGGTAATGAGACATTCAGCAAGTCTTCAGTTTGCAGGTACAGTGAAGTAGTCCCTCGTTTATCGCGGGCGCTAGGTTCCAGCGCACGCGCGATAAGTGAAAAACCGCAAAGTAGGGATAGTTGTACAAGTGAAGCGCAGCAGGAAAGCAAAGGGTTAACCCTTCACGAAGCTCTGCAGCACGGAGCAGAAATGTTCTTCTCGGTCAAGTACACTGCAACAACTGAACATAGAAGTTCTAAAATAATTAACTTTTAACACTTTTATACACTGCCTGGCCAAAAAAAAGGTCACACACTATTTTGTTGGACCACCTTTAGCTTTGATTACGGCATGCATTCACTGTGGCACTGTTTCGATAAGCTGCTGCAGTGTCAAGATCTATTTCCATCCAGTGTTGCATTCATTTTTTTTTTTTTTTTACCAAGATCTTGAATTGATGATGGCAGATTCTGACCACTGCACAAAGCCTTCTCCAACACATCCCAAAGATTCTCACTGGGGTTAAGGTCTGGACTCTGTGGTGGCCAATCCATGTGAGAAAATTATCTCATGCTCCCAGAACCACTCACAATTCAAGCCTGATGAATCCTGGCATTGTCATCTTGGAATATGCCTGTGCCATCAGAGAAGAATAAATCCATTGATGGAATAACCTGGTCATATTTCTATATTCAGGTAGTCAGCTGACCTCATTCTTTGAGCACATACTGTTGCTGAACCTAGACCTGACCAACTGCAGCAAGCCCAGATCATAACACTGCCCCAACAGGCTTGTACATATGATGGGTCTCCACTATCCTTCCAGTTTTTAATAATGTGTTGGACAGTTCTTAACCCAATTTTAGTAGTTTCTGCAATCTCCTAGGATGTTTTCTCTGCTTGATGCCAATGATTTGACCCTTCTCAAACAGACAGACATCTTTTCCACGACCACGCCATGTGTCTTTAAGAAATGGGAAGAAACTCATTGCATCAGTTGGGGTTAAATAACTTGCCAGCTGAAAGATGATCATCCATGCAGTAATTATTCAATAGGCTCGTACCTATTAGGTGGTGACTTTTTTTTGGACAGTGTATGTTGTGATTATGATTTTACAATGTGACATATCCAAAAACCTTCAATACAAATGCGACATACTTTCAATTTTAAGTTGGAAGACAGAAGTGGAGCGCTGCATCTGGACAGCAAAGGCTTCACGAAGCTGTTGCAGTGGCAGAAATGCAGGAGGGAACTTCTCCCTGCACCTGTGGGCTGCACACGGGTGCAAAATCATTAAAAATGTTTAAATAATCAATCCATGCTGCTCCTGCTTATGTGTCATGTCCCATCTTACTTTGAAAACCCGCAAGTGAGTCAGCGAAAGCCGAACTGCAAAGTAGTGAGGGACTACTCCATTCACTGAGTGCTCATGCAGATCGATCAGTAGGTGTCATCAGAAATGTTGAAAGTTGAGTTTCGTGTTTCCCTGCAGGGCTCAAGGAGAGTCCAGTCATGTCTCACGCAGACTCTCTACTCCTGGTGGAGCTGATGGATGAGATCCGCACACAGGTGGGGGTGGTGTACAGCCAGGACTCCCAGTAGAAGTTTAACACACTAACAACAACTTTGTAATGAAGAAGGACCTTATTGATCCAGCACTTTGTATTAATACACAAAAACATCATGTTTTCTTTGTAATAAACGTTTATGATAAATTGTCAATCAGGATAGTAATGTGCACTTTTTGTATTAGACAGTTAAAATGTTATTTAATTATGAACTTATTTAAAAAAAAGCCACTTATATTTGCAACATTCATTAAAAACACTAATTTTACATTTACCTTCAAACTGAAATACTTGATTTTAGAACTGATCAAAATAAGTTTAGTTCTTGGAGCAATTGTTCTTTTTTTTATTTTAATGATTTTTTATTTTTTTTCCCCCCATGAACAAACTTGTTTCAAATAAAATAAAAACAGGCAAGTTCAGATGGGTGCTCGTCTCTTTTATTGAAGGAACTCCAGTCTTGTGGGACAGGTTAGTACACCAGCTAAACACGTTATCCTTTTAAATATAGTTAAGTTCTTATACTCTATTATTACAATCAGAAGCATATTAGACTCACAGAGACAGTTACAGTGGATCACCAACACAGAAGACAAATTCTATCAGTCATTTTGCAGAGGACAGATTTTTATCACTCATCTGAAAAATACCCTAAAAAGGTGCAACCGTCTTAAACGCTCTGCCTCAAATAAAATCAGAATCCAAAGGAATTTAACGTTTTTATATCACACATCTAACAAAAAACAGTAACTCTCTCAAACACCTGCAAAACTATCGTTTCTTTGAAGTCAGACAAAATATATAATCCGATTCGAAAGTCTCAAAAACCAAACGTTCACTACTCAGAAGTCAAGTATAGTGTAGAATGTAACAATGTGCGGAGCAAACTGGGAGTGCAACACCAACATACGCTGAAACACATTCGGAGCTGGTAAATATGGGAGGACACTTATGCAGACAGCATTACGGAGCGATCTGTTTGGGTGAAGTCGAGGCAGCGCTGCAGTGGGGGGGTGGGGGCGCTCTTTGTTTCAGAACGCTAACACTTTGTTCGTTACGCCAGCAGGAGTGTGATAAGTAAACGGTTCCAACTCGCCGTTCAGGTCAATCGGCTCCACCAGCAGCTACACCCAAACAGGAGACGGGATGAACACGCACACACACACAAGGATGTATCCACTCAGACTTTACCAATCCAAGTGTTGGAGTGAATAAATACAGCAGTTTTTGGTCAAGGTGTATTAATCTGAGGCCCTGAAGACTGGTCCGATTGTGAAAAATCAAGGCTAAAGGAATGAAAACATTAAATGGAATAGTTAAGAACTTCTTCCCCATCCAAACAGCTCTTGGGCCACTGAGGCCCAACTTTAAAGCTCAACTCTATATCATTGTCTAAACTTTAAACAGCTGAGTCTGTGAGCCCTGACTGCATGAAAGGGGTTTAGGAGAACTAGTATGGAGAACTATGAACGACAGATGAAAGTGAAGGGAGGAAGCAGCACAGCTTGTGTTGGCTGCTCAGGCCACAAGAACCACACGCATGGTGTTGGTGTAACCGGAGCCGGGGCGCCAGCCGGTCAGGATGATCACAACGTCGCCCTCTTTGAAGAAGCATCTGGCCTTGCCTACAAAATGAAAAGCAAGATGTTTAATGAACCCGTCTGATTGTAGACGCAACTGAACTGAGGTTTAGGCCCAAACTTAAGAAGAAGCTGCAGTTTTGCCGTTAGGGCTGGGTGATATGGACCAAAATTAACATCAATAATTTTAAGATGAATCGCAATATATGATATAATCTCTTTTTTTAATAAATTTAAAATAATAAAAATATATTTCTGAGTCAAAGCTTTGTCCCACTTGTCACACAGGCACATTTATTAACAGCTGTAACTGGACAAAATGAATGTCTAAAAAAAAAACTATTTACATATATTAAAGGTTTTTTTTTTTTTTAGATATTTACATATATTAAATAATCCTCCTCAGCTGTGCCGCCTTCACGTTAGTAAACATATGTAAAGCAGCACTTGAGGGTCTGTTTGTATTCAGTGAGGGAGGAGGAGGGGGCCGCGTGAAGTTGTTGCAGACGGGACTAAAAGAACTACCATATTTTCCACCGTATTTTTCGCACCACCCTATAAGTTGCATCAGTCCAAATATGTCTAATAAAGTGGAAAAATCCATAAATGCATCGCTTCGCCGTATACGTTGCATCTATTATGCGTCACCTCTGACGCGTCGCGTTTGTTACACGTCGCTGCCGACAACCCAGAAATGTGGGCTGGTGTGTCAAAAATCGATTGGCTGCCAAATGGTAGCCGCGGGAGCAAGCACGAGAGAACTTTAAAAATAATTTAACAAGATTAACACTTAAAAACAATTATTTGTTTGCTCGAAATTATATTTAAGGTATGTCTCAGTCTAACTTTTGCTTATTAAATGCACTTTGACGGTCAAATCAACTGTATTTCAAAAGTCGATACGCGAAAGTCGGAACTTGCAAAGGGATGAGTCGCTGCTCATTTCTTTGAAATTTAACAAACGCCTAAAAACAATTTTTTTGTTTTGCTCAACATTATAGCAAAGGTGTGTCTCAGTTGAACTTTTACTTAATGAATGCACTTCAATGGCCAAATTAGCTGCATTTCCTGGGGTGGCACATTGAAACGAAGATGATTTGACTGTTGCTCTGAGAGCTGGACAAAGGTGGCAGTCTCTGGCAAGCCGATTGTGTCATTAATAGCCACTTTTACCTATTGCATGATAAAACGGCATGTTATACTCTGCTGCCATCTAGCAGCTGAAAAATGGTAGTGTTCAATATTTTCAGTCAGAATGAATGAAAACAGTCATATCTCAGCCAAAGATTGGTTTATAAATATGGGAACAAATCCATAAATACGTCGCTTCGGTGTATAAGTTGCAGGGCACGCAAATTATGCAAAAAAAATGCAACTTATTACAACAAAAAATACGGTACACAAATTTTCGAGTCTAATAATACTCAATGGCTGCGATAGAGCCATTTTTACCACCGTACATTGAAAAACTCATGATCCATCGTGTATACTGGATACATCGCCCAGCCCTATTTTCAGTTCTAAAGCTAACGAGCTGCTTACCCATTTCTATGGCGAAGTTGACACGCATGTCCACGTCCTCAGCCCAAACATCGTGGGCGGGCTTGGTGTAAAGGACGGGGAAGATCCCGCGGTACAGGTGGGCCTGACGAGCAGTCTGAGCATTACGGGTCACGGCAATGATGGGGGCACGGGGTCTGTACCTGGACAGCAGGTGGGCAGACCTGCAAAAACACGTACATGAACACAACTGACAACAGAAACACCCAACATGATCCACACTTTCTGTCATACATGAAGAAAGTGCTGATTCTAAATGCAAATTAATGCATACCCAGCTGGAAGTTTTTATGATTACGTGGCATTTCTGCTTTATATGATCATTGGAGGTTATTTGATTGGTCAGATTATTTTTGGAAAACATGCAGTTTATGCTGAGGCTAATAACATGCAAATATTGATCTGTAAAATTGTCCTTTTAGCACAGATATATTCACAGCGTAGAGCTATACGATAGGCCAAAATAACAACATATTATAATTAAAAAATTTAAATTATTCCATAGTATTTCTACTCTTGCTCTGAAATACTGTATTAAGTGTAATAATCTTAATACGGATAATAGTAAAAGCAATGTTGCTTCATATCAGTGCTACAGCAGCCGGATACACCAGACCCAACAATTCAGAAGAGCTGAAGGCCACCATCAGAGCAACCTGGGCTTTCAGAACACCTGAGCAGTGCCACAGACTTAAATTTAGTATGCACGGCTTACAGTAAGGTGTGTTCTATAGACCGGCTATTACGGTAATTTTAAGTCTCGATGGGACCAAATGATTTGCTTGGATGTCTGATCACAAAAGAAAACATTTCAGCCTTCTTCCCATTATTGTGCCATTCAGTTCACTTCTATGACAGGTGAAATTAATTGGTGTCAATTTTTACAGCCACTGCATTCACATGTTTAAATGTTCATAAAAATCACATGAAAGTCAAACAAGACACTTTAATCGGGCTTCCCCCATTCCCCACTTTCACTCTTATAAATCGTTATTGTCTGTCCACTCTATTAAGCGCTCTCACACATACACACACACACAATTAAAGGGGAGATCTCAGAGGGCACGTTGGGAGCTGGAGGTAGAATTAGGATGATTAACTCTGGTATGAGGTTGGAAACGGCTTACCTTCAGGAGTAGAACCACAACCCTGTTATCTTTCTTACCTCCCACTCTTAGTCAGAACAATGATGCCAGTAGCGCAGCACTTGAAGGACGCTTCAACAGCTCCAATTGCTACAGCGTCTGCAGGGTCTCCGGTCAGCTGGGTGGTCTTCCTCAGCTCTTCGAACAGCTGTCTGTGGAAGGTGGCTGCTTCTGCCTCTCGTGCTATCTAAGCCCCGAAGGGAAGGGTGGGTCGGGGGTTACTTTCAGTCACACTACACAACTACACACAGAGGCATTCACACCGGTGGGAGTAACTGGCAAACTTGCAACTAGACTTCTGGCTGAGAAGTAAATCTGATGTTTAAAGCATCGATCACGTTCTAAAAAGTATGCGTTTTATTGTATAAAATCCATTTTCATGTCTGTAATTGTTTAGAGAAAATAATAAAAAAAAGAATAAGTAAATAGATGATAAAACAAAGTCTAGTTGGGTTATTTGCCAGCTCTCCCAGTTACTTTATCTGACAATTCCTGCCTGGCCCTACTCTCCCTTTGTGTCTCTAAAATAATCCAGACTTCCAACGGAGGCTGAGTGCCAGATAACCTGCCTACCTTCCAGAGCCCGTGAGCACAATGATCGCCGAGGCTAAACTCTTAAAGGAGGCCTCGACAGCGCCAATTGCTATGGCCTCAGCGGGGTCGCTGCAGTGCGGCGTGGAACGACGCAAGTCCTCGAACACCTGCCGGTGGAACATGGCTGCCTCGGCCTCGCGAGCGATCTGGCACAACGGCAAGACGCATCGGGCAAAGGCATTTCCACACCAGGTACGCACATAAATGTGAAAGAAAAAAAAAAGATGTAGGGGGAAAACAAAGGGGGAAAGAGGGGAAAAAAAAACAGATGGAATCAGTTAAAGAGAAAACCAGAAGTTAAAGAGAAAGGAACAGATAGAAATGGGTTTAAAATGGACAACCAGAGGGAAAGTTTAGGTGTGCAGTTCGTGGAAGGGGAACAGGGAGACAAAGGTTAAAATGGGCACCAACCTAACCAATAACATGATGTTACATTTAAAACATTGAAAAACAGCTTAATCTAAATTAAGCTAAAATACTGTGAATACACTATTTTGGAAAGTGCAAGCATTTCACAATAAAGTAAAATATAATTTGTCACATTTGGGCTTCAGTAAATAAAATGGGGAAAAAATGTGACTTTTGTAATAAATAAATAAAGGTTTAGATGCCACATACAGTTTTGATGAGGTAGTTAAAAAATAAGTCAGCCAGGAGAAACAGAGAAGCATTGGATTACTTGTTAGAAATGATGGCTTAAGTTAGTCTAAATGATTTTTCCCTTCAGTGCTCGGCAACTGATATACAGCTGTGCTTACTCTGGATTCTGAGCTATGCGATACAGCTTCAGCGTAAGTGCAACAGGCTCTAAATAGGAGCATTAGGAGTGCTGAGTCACCGAGACATCTGCATTGTGGCTGAGAATCAGCAGAGGTTAGTGAAGGACAGACATGGCAGCAGTAAAAGCATTGCCCCTTCATGAAATTGATACCAAATACGATTTTGGCAAAAACATTCATTTAGACTGATTTAGTCACGATATTTAATCCAAGTATTCAAATGTTTGCTTTTCTGCATCTGTCCCTGACTGGAAAAACACAAGTGAGCAGATCACAAACAAATTTAGAAAAAAAAAAAAACAGACTCAAGGAGTGCATCACACGAAACTGCTGTTTTAGTGTCTGTAAATAATGTGATATAATGTTTGAAAGAAGGATTCAATAAGCCTGATGGGCAGATTGAATCCTTGTTGGGAGAATTGTGCACGTTTTCAGATTTCACTGCAAACATAGATGTGATACAGAACATCAGTCAGTGAATTCATTAGATTAACAAGAACAGAAAAGACTGTGGTTTTGAAGACGTGCCAACATGCCATTTTAGTAAGTAACATGCACAGAGTAGACATTATGCAGAGGTTCATGTGCTTGCAGCTCCTACAGAGACTGCATTTTCTGCACCACAAATATAAATTTGTAATTATGCTGATGAATTTTCTTCCAATTACAGCAAGTCATGTGATGATTATTGATTTAAAATGAAATCAAAGTGAATCTAACTGCATAATCACTGGAATCAAGGACGCGTAAGATGCAGTGATGCATGTGCCGACATCAGCTTCAGCATTTTGAAGCTCAGCAAAGTGAGATCAGAGAGGCAGCATCAATGAGCAAAATAAACAACATGCAGATGTTTTTAGTTTATCACAACAGAATGTAAAGTTTGAATCTTACTGATCTTTTCATAGATTTGTTTTTAAAACTGTATTACAAAATATAAAAGCTCATGTTCATTGGACCTACAATCATCAAATGATGTATACTTGATTCAATAGTGGAAACAAGTTTTAAGAGTGTGACGTGAACTCAAGAACTCACCATGTGCTGCGTGCGAACAGCCTCCAGAGGGTAATCTCCCTTGGCGGTCTCACCGCTCAGCATGATGCAGTCCGCTCCATCCAGGACAGCGTTGGCTACATCACTGCCCTCAGCACGGGTGGGTCTAGGCTTCTTGATCATGCTCTCCAACATCTGCAGTTTAGCAACATTTTACAGGCGAGAGCAGCCACTAAATTAATTCAGCCATCTACTAAAATCACATCCCTGAAGGTAAATATATCCAAAAATAAATAATAATCCAGTCTTCCTGAATGGTAATCTGACCTGAGTGGCACATGTGATTGGTTTGCCAGCTCTGTTGCAGCGACCAATCATCATCTTTTGGGCAAGGAAGACCTTTTCTGTGGGGATCTCAATACCCAGGTCACCGCGGGCAACCATGATGCCGTCGCTGGCCTCCATGATCTCATCAAATCTGTAAAACCAGCAAAAAAGCTGCAAATGGTGACTTCTAGTTGCAAGATTATTTCAAACAAGTTTGGCTCATAATACTGTTTTAGTGAGACTTCACAGCTTCAACTGTGGGTTCATGTTTGGATGAACCGAAAACACTGAACATTTATTATCCCTCAGTGGTAAATGACCCGACCTCATCCACACAAATCGCGTTGCTCTCATACACACCTGCGGACACCCTCGTGGTTCTCCAGCTTGCTGATGATCTTGATGTGTTTGCCGGGCTCTCCCAGCACATTTCGGACAGCATGCACATCTGCCGCTTTACGAATGAAGGAGGCAAAGACCATGTCGACTCCCTGCTCGACACCAAACTGCAGGTCCTTAATGTCTTTATCTGAAACAGCAGGCAGGTCTACGGCAGCACCTGGGAGATTCACTCCCTTCTTGCTGCCAAGGGTGCCACCATTCTCAATCTCACACATAAGATAATCAGAGCCTGGAGGAAAAGGAAAAAGATATATAGGTTGAAGTACTACACACTTCACAGGGAAGTAGGTGCACGTTTGCCACTTTTCCTCTCACCAATCTCCTTGACCTGCAGAGACATGAGCCCATCATCAATGTAGACTTTGCTGCCAACTTCCACCACTTTGGTAATGTTCTTGTAGTCGAGCCAGAGGATCTCATCGCTGCAGTTGTCCTGATAAGCATCATCTAAGGTAACCTTGATCATGTTGCCTTTCTTCAGCTCCACTTCAGCAGTGCCACTCTGAAAGTAAAATATGTTATTGATGTGACAATTTCTTTTTTATTAATATATA